CCCGGCCCGCTAGGGTGCTTACCCTGGCAAGCCGCGTGCCGAACGTTGCCGACCCTTGCTCTAGTTTAAACCTGCATGAAGTGAATCATATTACTGGTCGAAGTACATGAATATTTGAAAACTCATCTCCAGAGTACGGTATGTCCATAGTATTTTAGCATCCCTATTTAGTTAAAAAACCCAACACACTTAAAATATATAGTATGAGAGCCATACAAGGAATTCAGGTCTTAAGTATGATTAAAAAGTCACAATTATACATAAATACATGGAACACAATACAAGTGTCTTTCCAATTATGATGGGCAATGCAAGTGGCATATAGCTTTAATTTAAAAATTTGCAAGTCATAAGACTTCCGCCACTTTCTCCCATATTTTGCATAAATATTAGTCTTTCACCGATGGGGCAGTCAAACAAACAAACAAAAAGTTCTTTATTTTAAATTGTCTTTACTTGGAACAGGGCCGGCTCCAGGCACCAGCTTGGTAAGCAGGTGCTTGGGGAGGCCTCTCCGGAGAGGGGCGGCAGGTCCAGCTATTCAGCAGCAATTCGGTGGACGGTCCCTCACTCCCGCTTGGAGCGAAGGACCTCCTGCCAAATTGCCGCCGCAGATCGCGATCGCAGCTTTTTTTTTTTTTTGGGCTGCTTGGGGCGGCCAAAACCCTGGAGCCAGCCCTGACTTGGAAGGTGTGTGGAGAAAGCAGCACTGTTTTAAAAAACTTAACTGCTAATTCCCTGCTGTTTCACTATTATTTTAAAAAGAGGGCAGTGTCCATATAAAAATTATACCTCAATCTAATCTGTTGCCTACACTAATATAGTAAAACAAAGAATGTTAGAATCTTGTTTCCACATTTTATGCTATTGATTACTTTTTTCGCACCTCACTCAGCTTGCAAAGTTAAAAAATGTTAGTTGATTTGTTCTGAATTCTCACACTCTAGCACAAAGTTGTAGCATTTGATTTGCAAATATTAAATGTGGCATGTTTAAATATTAACATTTTTCAGGGATTTAAACACTGGACATCATCCTGTTAATATTAAGAGATACAGATTTATTTATTAAACATATCTAAATATTGGCCCTAAATTACTTGACAGTGTCCCTAAATTTGGAGGCAACATCTTTACTATATTTGACATAGCATCAAGGCTAGCTCTAGGCACCAGCAAACCAAGCATGTGCTTGGGGCGGCACATTTTCAGGGGCGGCATTCCAGCCTTTTTTTTTTTTGCGCTTCGGGAGGCAAAAGCCTAGAGCCGGCCCTGGCAGCAGCAGCACATCGTGCGCAGGGGGCGCCCTGGGGTTCGCACCACGAGAGCAGCGCCTGCACTTTGTGGCTGGGCCGGGCAGGCTCCAAGCGAGGGACACTCGGGCTGGGGGCTGCCCCGCGGGGCACTCAGAGCTGCCTGCAGGTGCTGGAGGGCAGCTGCCCCCCAGTGCTGCAGCCGGGGCTGGGCGAAGCAGCCTGAGCCGCCCAGGGACTGTGGCAGGGCTGCCAGCAGCAGCAGCAGCGGGGCCATAGAGGGCGAGGTGCTGCCGTGCGGAGCCCACGTCCCGCTCTCCGGGGCTCTGCTCCCTCTGGGGCTGCCCTGCCCCAGCTCCTCAGCCCCCTGCCGGGGCGGTCCCCTGGCTCTGCCCTCCTGGGTCCCAGCCGGTCCTGGAGACGGGAGCCCTGGCTTGAGGGACCCTGGGCTGAGGCACGTCCGGGAGCCTCGCTGCTTACTCCGACCCTGCCAGCGCCGGAGGAGGGGGGAAATGGGTGGAGTCAGCACTGGTGGGGAGGAGCCCAGGGCTGGGGCGGCAGGGGGAGCCCAGGGCTGGGGTGGCAGAGGGTGCGGGGGTGGGGGGGGGGAGAAAAGAGCCCAGGGCTGGGGTGTGGGGCAGCCAAAATTTTTTTTTGCTTGGGGCGGCAAAAAAACCTAGAGCCGGCCCTGCATAGCATCAAACACTGTCTATGTTTTACAATCACTACTCTTCTGCCTATTATTATTATTATTATTATTATTATTAACTAAAGGAGGGTTTGTATCTTGCAAACTGGAAGTTGGAGAGCCTGATACAAGTATATTGAATGAGAGTCTATAAAGAGGACAAGACAATTTGAAATGTGAGGCTACTGAACAGGCAAAGACAACTGAATAAGGCTGGATCTCTGTTTCAGATGTGAATGCACATTGCCAAAGTCTTTTAAATCTGTATCTGGCTGTAGAATAAGCTACTTAGAAAAACATGATGCCACATCATATAGTGTAAGTTCTTGATTAAGCCCTGACTGGATGAGAAAAGGAATAGAATAGTTACTTAAAATTTGAATAATCTAACTACAGATCAGAGAGCAATGTCCCTCAAAAGAAAAACTGAACGTAAAAAGAAGTCTTTTTTTTATTAAAATAGTTTAAGGGTAATTAACAGAGAAGAGCAGAATTGAACCCATATTTTCTGATTCAATAAGGATTACCTAGGCATCATGTAAAATAATATAAATATAGCTTACCTTTTTCACTTGTGCCTCTTTAATCTTTTCCAAAGCAACCCTGATCTTCTCAGCTTTCAGTTTAGCAGCCTGCTCTTCCTGTGGGGATACAGCATACCAGTTAAACAAATGTCAGTCTGATTTTAGGACTTCAAAGCTATGAATTATGAGGTTACCATAGGGTAGAATTTGAGAAGGAATACTAGTTTCCCCCACTGGCAACAACCGCTACTGTGGAAATTAAAGGAACAATCATTGATGCTGAAAAAAACGACTACTTTTAAGATGCAAAGACTTCCTGTATCTGTCTGATATACACACAGATCAGACCCTGTGACTTTGAAGACAGAATACAATTGTTTTTCTGCACTTTGCCAGCCAATATTGCATCATTCCTTTGCATTCTACTTTTTTCTTTTGCATCCATCAATTACCGAATGCTTTAATTTGCCAAAGATTTACGACAGTCCCAGCTCATACCATATTTGCCAACAGTACAATTAAACACATCCAACAGATTTTCAGTTTATCAAAGTTAACATCACAATGAGAGACACCATAGCTTACTGTTACAGACACTTCCATTAAATAGTATTCCACGCTATTCCAGTCTGTTAAGGAAGCTTTTAATATGTTAAACCGCTTGGAAATAGCTCAATACTTGCACACTACACCTTTCATCCATGTTCCATACTATGTTTTTCCTCAAAAAAAAAAAAAAAAAAAAGGTTACAGATCACCAAATGTAAGAAGTTAAACCTTCTTCTTTGATACTCTTCCTTTTAAAAATCTAAGTTTGTTACAATTTAAAGCACATTAAAAACCCAAGGAATCTGAATCCATTCTAGCTCTTAATTGCTTTTCATAAAGAAACCGGTATACTGCAACATTACTAATACTTACTTTCAATCTCCAGCAATCAGCCTATATAATATTACTATTGCAATAGAGTTGAAGTGATCTGCTGAAACAAGAAACCACTTCTGCAGAACCTCTGCCTGCAGGTTTCAAATTTCAGAATTCTAAGATTTGGATTACTATAGCGTGAAGTGTCTAAGAAGCACATAAACCACTTTGTAGAACTCATAATTAGAAAGCCACACAATTAAAAATACTTATGTCAGTCCCCTCTCAAAAATAGATTGCTTTCAGAGCAAAAGTAGCACAATGATGGAAAGACAGCCCCAACTACAGCGATTAACTCTTTATCATTTCATTCTACAAATAAAATCACTAAGCCGCTTCTCTGTTACACTGTTTGGATGAAGTTGCCTTTTATTTACTGACAAAGATTCATCCATCTTCAAATCTGTGCTGCACTTCATTAGGAGTAACACTGTTACTGGCATTTTTCACTTCTGTGAAGCCATTGTTGTTATTCTCATCCTCTGGAGTGGCTCCTTCCTAGGCGACTTTGTCTTACTTGTACTTAGCCACTTTTGTCCCCTCATTCTCAGACTGTACTTCTATACTACACAGTAGAGATGGCAACAGCTGTGGAGGGGTATAGACTTGCTTGTGAGAAACATAATCTTTTTCAATAAGAGGAGCCAATAAGCTGACAAGAGCAGTAATAATTGGGGTTTGAAACATTAGCTGAAAACTCAATTAGGCAAAGAACAACGCTTTTTATTAGGCTAGTGAGAGACTCATTTTAATTTATCATAAAGATGGTATCACATAACTAGGAAAGGTTATACCAGAATATATTGTTTAGAAAAAAGGGAAAAAACAAAAACCAACAGTAAGATATCTGAAAAGATTTTTAAACTTTAACCAAATGACATATAATTCCAGAATTTTAGAGTATTCATCCTACCTCTTAGTCCTGGTTGTTTTCATCCACAAAACACTTGTTATTCAAAAGCAAAGAAAAGCTCTATTAAGATTTTTTTTTTTTTTTAATTTGGAAGAGTAAGGTTCTACAATTAATCATTTTATGCTCTGGGCTGCTCCTCAAGACAATAAGAGCAAGATGGACCCTTTATATAGTTTTAAGACCAATTTTGAGAAACTGAGCAATTTCTGGCTTTTACAATGGTATCTATGAACTCAACCATAAACCTTTATTTCTGTACAGAGGCTGCAAACATGTTCAATTTGGCTTTTTACTTAAGTCAAGGGGCCCGATTTTTCATCCCGCTGCATGTTGTACATGTGCACGTGAGTACACAACTATCAAAAAGGTAGCATTTTACACCTACTTTGCACAGGTACACGTGAATACACAAAGACCAAGGCTTTGGAGAATCAGGCCTCATGGCTCGAATACACCTGTGCCAGTGCACCATAATTATCTTTTCTGATATTCTAGTCTTAAATGATTCCTTAGCAGAGAACCATGATAGACTGTGTGGTGGTTTTATGATGAAACATGTTTAAGTATGTGCTGTTCCTATTACTAAATTCATTTTCATTTGAAACTTTAAGGATTGGCTCCAGAGATGAAACAGTAGCCTATAATCATAGAAATGTTGGACTGGAAAGGACCTCAATAGGTCATCTAGTCCAGTCCCCTGCACTGAGGCAGGACTAAGTATTATCTAGACCATCCTGACAGGTGTGTTTATCTAATCTGGTTTTAAAAACCTCCAATGATGGATAGTTTACAACCTCCCTAGATAATTTGTTCCAGTACTTAACTACTCTTACAGTTAGGAAGTTTTTCCTAAAGTCTAACCTAAAACTCCCTTGCTGCAATTTAAACCCATTACTTCTTGTCCTGTTCTCAGTGGTTAAGGAAAACAATTTATCACACTCCGCTTCATAATTTATGTACTTCTTTTCACAAACCGATCACTCCATATCTGACTTAATAGTCCTCATCTTCAAAGAAAACCTGCACAATACTTTCAAAAGAAGAGTCTGGGAGCTTGAATTCATTACTCTGCAATACAGACTGAACAGAGACACTGAATTTATGGGTTAATCTGTACCCCATTAGCCCCTCCCTCTTTTTCTCCTATGATGACCATTCACTCTACCTTGAATGGTCCCTTACAATATGTGAAAAGTGACAAAGAGTCCTGTGGCACCTTATAGAGTAACAGATGTATTGGAGCATAAGCTTTCGTGGGTGAATACCCACTTTGTCAGATGCATGTAGTGGAAATTTCCAGAGGCAGGTATAAATATGCAGGCAAGAATCAGTCTAGACAGAACGAGGTTAGTTCAATCATGGAGGATGAGGCCCTCTTCTAGCAGTTGAGGTGTGAACACCAAAGGAGGAGAAACTGCTTTTGTAGTTGGCTAGCCATTCACAGTCTTTGTTTAATCCTGAGCTGATGGTGTCAAATTTGCAAATGAACTAAAGCTCAGCAGTTTCTCTTTGGAGTCTGGTCCTAAAGTTTTTTTGCTGCAGGATGGCTACCTTTAAATCTGCTATTGTGTGTCCAAGGAGATTGAAGTGTTCTCCTACAGGTTTTTGTATATTGCCATTCCTGATATCTGACTTGTGTCCATTTATCCTTTTACGTAGGGACTGTCCAGTTTGGCCGATGTACATAGCAGAGGGGCATTGCTGGCACATGATGGCATATATTACATTGGTGGAGGTGCAGGTGAATGAAAACTACAATGCATTGGTGATCTTCCAGAAAACACCATTCTAGCCACCATGGATGTGGAGGCTCTCTACACAAACATCCCACACACAGATGGAATACAAGCTGTCAGGAACAGTATCCCTGATGATGCCACAGCACAACTGGTTGCTGAGCTCTGTGACTTTATCCTCACGCACAATTATTTCAAATTTGGTGACAATATATACCTCCAGACCAGTGGCACCGCTATGGGCACCCACACTGCCCCACAATATGCCAACATTTTTATGGCTGACCTGGAACAACGCTTCCTCAGCTCTCGTCCACTCACGCCCCTTCTCTACCTACGCTACATTGATGACATCTTCATCATCTGGACCCATGGGAAGGAGACTCTGGAAGAATTCCACCACGATTTCAATAGCTTCCATCCCACCATCAACCTCAGCCTGGACCAATCTACATGGGAGCTTATGCTCCAATACGTCTGTTAGTCTATAAGATACCACAGGACTCTGTCGCTTTTTACAGATGCAGACTAACACGGCTACCCCTCTGATACTTTAACATAAGTAGTTAGCACATATTGTAAACAATCTGTTCCACCTTGCATTCTGCTGTGAGGCTGGGAGTACCTTTCCCAGATCTGAAGAAGAGACAGGGCAGACCCCTGCGGGACTCCACTTGATATGTTCTTACAGCTTGATTTTGAACCAATGGTAACTACTCTTCTGAGTACGCCTTTTCCAATCAGCTGTGCATTCATCTTATAAGTAGGTTTGTCTAGGCTATATTTCTCTAGTTTGTTTATGAGAAGGTCATATGAGACAGTATCAATAGCCTTACTAAAGTAGAGATCTCACATCTACTGCTATTCCCGGGCTCCCCGCCCTCCACAAAGCTTCTTACCCTGTCAAAGGAGGATATTAGGCTGGTTTGACATGAGTTGCTCTTGACAAATCCATGTTGATGATTATATATTGCAATATTTTTAACTTTTAGACTAAAACTATTAGAAATTAAATTCTAAAATTGTAATTTCCCTAAAAAAGATCTTATTTACGAGCAGCAAATGCTAAAGAAGATTAAAATTCATGTATAAGAAAAATCAAAGCAAAACTAAATACGATTTTTTAAAAAATAGTTAGGACTGTTCTTTAGTTATTAAACAAAGCTTTTCTTTTAAACTAGTTGACATGTCAAGAACAGTATAGCAGATTTGGCATGTAATGCTTCATTAATGCAGGGTGGGGAATTATGTATTGTCATGATTTTTTCCCCAAAAGTACAATTGGATTATGATTTTTTTTAGAAGTATGATTGTATTAAAGTTGGTATTTTTCAAAGTTTGCTAAACTCTAATCAATCTACCTCTTTTCCCCTTCCCAGCCAAACAAACCATAAAATAACAAACCTTGACACAAGGGACAAAGAGGGTTAACAAACAAGAAGCCTATGCAACCAGACAGTGTACTGAGCTAACTACATTTCTCATTCCATGTGAGATATATTTTCATGAGAAGACAGACAGGTGACAGTAATATATTTGAATACACCTGCAAGCCATTCAACCACATAAACTGACAACTGTTGTACACAACTGTCTACATTTTAGAAATATGACATACTAATCAATCTAATCACATTTAGCATTAGCAACTCATTTCCCATGCAATTGTAAACAGACCTAAAATATGAACTTAAAATAGTTTAGAACCTGTTGGAATTGGAAACAGCAGCACAACTTACTAAGGTCCTAGACTCAGTGTGACTATCCATGCAAGCACGTATTTGTATGATTGAGGCCTAAAAGAAGTTTATTCCAAACAATGAATCTTATTGAAATTGCATCTAGTTACAGAAGAATATCACTAATTATCACATCACAAATACAGAATCCCAATAGTTCTCAAAAAAATCAAATTTGCTCTACCTCTCAAAGCACTAATAGCTAGTGATATCTTATTAATACAAAATATATTGGCGTACAGTGAACAGAAATAGATAAAAAACTAAGCTACACTGTGATATAGTGTTCTTGAATAATTAAATTATTTTGTTGGTTTTCTTGTTTATTTTCAAAACTGGCAACTTGCAGTGATTCTCTCAATCAGTGAATTTCAACTGCATCTGAATATTACTGTTATACAAAAAACCTATGTTAATGCAATTTCTTAAAGTAGCACAGTTAAAACTGAAAAAAACACCAAGAAATCGAAAGTTAAAAGGTTTCTTTAATAATGCTATTTCATAATTCCTTGTTAAATTTGTAATTAAATATGTTCTGTGTTTTAACACAAAAGAAGTAGGCTGTGCAATTGAGTTAATGTTACTCCAAAAACCTTAACTTTTCCATTACTTGACTTCTTACATTTTATTGTACATTAATGTAGTTTTTTGCAGATGAATTCCTTATTTTTGGAGGGTTTTTTTTTAAAAGAAAAACTTATCTGTATTTAATAAAGCTAGCAATTAAGTGATACTATTTAAGCTATGAAGTTCACACTTCATTTAAGTGAATGCGGTAGACATGATTTCATAAAACATGAAATGGAATCCAGTAAATGTTTTTAGTTTAATATTTGAAAGTTTTCTCCAGAAAGTTTCTCTTTAAAGGAAGTGCAAGCAAGAAATCATAATCAAATGCACTTTGGCAATATTAATCTGTACATAAAAATTTCCCAGCCAAAAAAAGTGTACAATTTAAAATGCAGCTTGATGATAATTTTAAATGTATTGCTTTATCTAAAACTAGATAACATCTCTCAGTGGGATAAACACTTTTCATGCACATTTTCATTTGATGCCTTGGCAAGTGTGTACACATGAACACCTTTCTAGTATACAATCCACCAGAAGCAGGAAGAACATGAGGAAAGACATGAAACTGGGAGAGCGGGGACGGGTGGGGGGGAAGAGGCACACTCAAGGTTTCTGCCCATGCCACCACATTTCTTAATTCTCATGCATCCAAACCTGTAAAGTGGTTTTAAAAAGGTAAAAGAGGAGAGGGCTGGGAAAGAGCAGAAAAATGACCTTTGTTCTAGGCTGCTGTTAAAGTTCCTTTACTACATAGCAGCTGGAATAAATTTCCTCAGGAAAACAGATAGCTGCTGGCCAGTTAAAAAAAGTGTTAACACAAGTATAGCTTACTAGAAAAAACACTAGTTTTAAAGCAGGGGTGGGCAAACTTTTTGGCCTGAGGGCCACATTGCGGAATAGAAATTGTATGGCGGGTCATGAATGTTCACAAAATTGGGGTTGGGGTGCAGGAGGGCTCTAGTTGGGGGTGCGGGCTCTGAGGTGGGGCGAGGATGGAGGTTTGGGGTGCAGGAGGGTGCTCAGGGCTGGGATCGAGGGGTTTAGAGAGCGACAGGGGGATCAGGGCTGGGGCAGGGGCGTGGGGAGAGGCTCAGGGGTGCAGGCTCCGAGCGGCGCTTACCTCAAGCGGCTCCTGGAATCAGCGGCATGTCCCTTCTCCGGCTCCTATGTGGAGGCGCAGCCAGGCGGCTCTGCACGCTGCCCCATCCGCAGTCACCGCCCCTGCAGCTCTCGCTGGAGTGCCGGAGGGGGCCAATGGAGCACAGAGGAGCCGAAGCGGGGCCATGCCATGGCTTCCAGGAGCCATGTGGTGCAGGCCACGACCCAGCACCCCAACCGGAGCACTGGAGCCCCTGACCCAGCGCGCTGGCTGGAGAGCTGGAGTTGGGCCGAGCCGTGCGGTGCAGCCTGTGACCCAGTGCCCCAGCTGCAGCGCCGGAGCGGACCCCAACCCAGCGCCCTGGCCGGACTGGGGCTGAGGCGTGTGGTGTGGCCTGACTCAGCATCCCGGCCAGAGCAGGACCAAGCCGCGTGGTGCGGCCCGCGACCCAGCTGGAGCAGAATCGAGCCGTGTGGTGTAGCCCCCGACCCAGGGCCCTGGCTGGAGGAGAAGCTTGCGGGCCAGCTTAAAAAGGCTCACGGGCTGTAGTTTGCCCACCTCTGTTCTAAAGTATAATTGGCAAATACAGCCTAAGCCTACCTATTTAGCAAATATGCCCTTGTTGCTTTACTATATTGCCATAATCTACATATAGTCCTGGTCTTCAGATTTGCCCAGCTTCTCCCTAGGAGCACTTAAACTTTTTTTTTTTTTAAATAATCAAAGAAATGGTGCACAGAAGGTGGACATTAGTGAAGTCTGTCTCCTGATATAATGGATTGCAAGTCTCTCAAGACAAAACTACATAGTCTTCCTCATCCAATCTGGTCATTGCTGAATAGAATCAGAGTCCATACCCTTCATCTCCTCTGATATAACAATTCCAAACTACAGGGGTACAGTAATTATGATTCCCAACATAAACAGTGCCAGAAAGTTGACAGCAATATATTAAAATGCAAGGAGTGCCTCTTGGGGTGTTACCGGCTCTTTTTCTACGTTACGGAAATAATTTAGGAGTTGTCCATAAGAGACTTCTAAGCATCTTTTCTTATGTAGGGTGTTTTTTCCAGATTACACAAAGTAAGAGCACTCAAAATAGCAAATTTGATCCTTTCTTTCTATACGAAGACAAACTGTTGCTAGTAATTTTAATTCATTTGAAGGATGTTATTGTTTTCTGGCCGTATGAGAAAAAACATCCATGTGCTTCCCACAGCTTAATTTTTATACCTGTAAAGGGGAGGAGAACAGAAGAGCTTTCAGACTCCACAGACTTTTGACTCCACTTGACTTTTTTAGCCAAGAATGCTAGCATGAATCTTACACGCTCTCCAAAAACTTGGAATCTTTGATGGATATTTGCAGTAACTCAGTAGAGTATATTTAAAATGAGACAGCCTTTAAAAACAGCCTGACAAGAGGAAAAGTCACTCTAGTAAAAGTGTTGGAGGGGTTTTTTTGGGGGGGGGTGAAGGGTGACAGGAGGGAGGGAGGGGTGAGCATCAAGCCTATAAACCCAGAAGTGGGAACTGCATTCTATCAACAAGGAAAAAGTCACATGCAGGTGGAAAGAAGATGCATCACCTTGGTCAGCAAATGAGAAGGCTTTCCTGCAATGTTTCTCAGAAGAAGGGATGTTTCCCTGTCCAAATAGGAGTGCTTGTGCAGAAAGAAAAAGAGAAAGAAAATAAGTCAAAGGAAATCAGTGCAGTAATTTTATAGTGTGTTGATTATAGTAGACAAGCAGAGTTTAAGCAAACACTTAAAAACCTTCCGCACTTAACTTCCCCCCATTCATAAAACTCTAACGATCTCTAGACAATGAATTCCAGAAACGCTTTTGACGGAAAGCAAAGGTTTAATAAGCAGTTGTGCTATTAAAAAACACCATCTTGCCCTTCACCTGTTTTTCAATGGCATAACAATTATAAAATACCCTTAAAGAAAATGTTTTCTTACCTGTTACTGATTTCTTTTCTACAAGATACTGGCTAGGATTTTCAAAATTACATAAGTTACCTAGGAGCACGAGTAAATGGGACTTACATTACTAAGTCACTTATGTAATTTTGAAAATCCTATCCACATCATGCAAATCCTATACAACTGGGCTTGCTGCTTCGGTTGTGCAGAGATGAAGACAGCATAGAACTGTCAGTCATGAAACCAGGACATGCTGGTCAAGCTTTGCACCCTGGCTGCTTTTCCCAAGAAGACGACTTCCAAAACTGCAGAAAAAAACCTTACCATAATGAGTGTCACTTATAATCCTGAACTATGGCCAACAAATTAATGTACAGCTATCCTCTCTCTCAAAATACAGTCCCCACAAGGATGGGTCAGATTGCCAAATTTCTCACAAGTGAGAAATTCGCAGAAAAGCCAAGTTTTCTCTCTCCTACAAGAGTTTGTCTGACAATCATCCCCATTTGGGAAGTGACCAAGAGTTAAAATTTCCCAGATGAGAGAGCAGATCAAAGACAAAATATGACTCCCTCCTGAATGTCTTAATGCCAGTAAGACAAAGGTAACATGAAGTCTTCTGTTCAGGTTTTAGAGCTGGTAAAGCATGGCTTTCCCTTTTGGGCAGCTTTTGCTATGCTTTACCCAGGCAGCTATTCCACCAGTAAATTTGGCAGAAGCCAGATTCTGCCTGAGGTGGGAGTCTTTGTTCCATTGGTGTTAAATGGCTACCTCATTGGCCAAGAATTTAAATTATACATAAACTGCATCAGCCACAAAGGAAGATGGGAAGGATATTTTCTAGAGAACTGACTTGACGACCTTCTCTCAAGTCATTCCTGAGAGGTCACTACAATAGGGTATTATTGCTCTGGAATAACATCTACAGAGGATAAAGGTCTGGAAATAGAGGATTCAGTGTTTCTCTCTAGGGAGATGTCTGTTTTACTAATCCCAGGGTAAGTAGGGTAAGAAAGAAATCCCGCTTTGAGCATTTATTTAGACTGGGAAAATGAGTGCTGTTTTAAAACATGTTAGCTAATGCATTAGCATTTTCCAACACAACCAAGGATATGAAAGAATACCACGTAGGGGGCTGTGCCATCAGAGCTGCTATTTCTCCTGTTCTCCTAGCGGAGGTAATCGCGATCAGGAAGGCCATTTTCACTAAGAGGTACGTAAGCGAACAGGTGGCCAGGGGTTCGAAGGGAGGCCTGGTCAATCCTTTCAGTACCAGGTTTAAGACCCAAGTGGGAGTATGAAGTCGAGGTTGTGGGAAGAGGTTTACTATGCCCTTGAGGAACCTTTTGGTGGTTGGGTGTGACAGCACTGACAGTCCCTCTATTGACTGGTGGAAGGCTGTTATAGCTGCTAGATGAACTCAGAGAGCTTAGAGATAGACTATGCACTGGCCCAAAAAAGGGCTCAGACATGTGGAAGAGTCACGGATGTCAGGAAGTACACCAAATTCGAAACCTGCACCATTTTTGCAGGTAGGTACGTCGTGTCGAGGACTTTCTGCTGCATAATACCACCTCCTATGCCTCCTTCGAACAGGAGCTTTCTAAGTGTTCAAACCAAGACGACGACATTCCATGAGGAGGAGAACCCCCAAGCTGGCATGTAGGGTATTGTCCTCTGAACTGGGAGAGGAGGTGCGGAGTGACAGGGAGAGGGATTGGTGGGCATGTCGCAAGCTGTGACAGGTAAGGGTACTAGTTCTGTCTCGGCCAAGTAGGAGTGATCAGAATGATGTATGCTCCGTCTTTTTATTTTCAGCAGGACCTTCGATAGTAAGGGAAAAGGAGGAAAGATGTAAAGAAGGTCTCCGTCCCAGCGGAGGAGGAGAGCATTAGCTCTCCAGGGAGCAGTAGCGTGGACATTTCTTGTTCAGGTAAGTGGTGAACAAGTCTGTGGTTGGTGCCCCCTGAATAGACTGTGAAGTTCTACTGGGTCTAGCTCCCACTCATGATTGCATGGGAATTTGCAACCGAGACTACCTGCTATTGAGTTTTGTGTGCCTGGAGTTAGGTTGCTGACAGCGTAACAGTGGAAGATGCACCACTTCCATAGTCTCATTGCCTCCATGGAAAGGGAGGGTGACCTGGCTCCCTCTTGTTGATTGTCTGTTAGATACTCTTGTGTGATACTTTGATCAGTAGGAGGAAGTGGGTGCCGGCATTCCTGACCGCCTTTAGCTCGAGGTGGTTGATGTGAAGGGGTATCTCCATAGGTGACCATTTGTCTTTTGATTAAAGGCCATTTAGATGTGCACCCTACCCTATGAGCAATGCTCAGTGGTAAGAAGTTTGAGAGTGTCAATATGCAGCCCAAGAGTCCCAGCATGGCCACTGGGGTGGTGGTGGCATAGAGGTTGGGGGTGGTGACCATGGGTGGGGCTATCTGAGGGTATGCTCGAGGACCCTGTTGATACTAGGCACTGTAAGGAGCCTGGGAGGAATACTGTGATTCTGCCTCCTCAGGTTCGCTATCTGAGCCTTCACTAGAGAGCGGGAGGAGCATGACAGAGCGGCGGGGAAGACTCCCATGCTGTTCGAAGACTTGGTGCAGAAGTCCCAACACCGAGAAGAAGAGATTCCAGTATGTCTGATACATGAAGGTCCCTAGAGTGTCTGAATTCCAGCAGTGCCGACTGACTCGATGCTGCTGGCGGTACAATGGAGGATGAAGATCTTGTCCATATTGGAAGCTCTGGTGCCAAATGAGGTGCCGATGGTACCTATGTAAAATTGCATACCGGTAATACCTTTTTAGAGGAGTGCTTACTCCTGTCCTTATCCCTCAGTGTCGTCATGGCTCTCTCGGGTCTCACTGTGGGGGATTTTCTGCTCTTTTTCGATGATTTGTGAAAGGGCTAGCGATTTGTTTCTTTGACCCACAGCCTTTATACATTGAAGGCTCTGGGGAAGACTCACATCTTCCAGGTGACTTGTGGCGTGGGTCCAGAGAGGGTGGGAAAGCCGCCTGCATGAAGATAATTTTCTGTCCAAGTTCTCTATCCTTACGAGACCGGGGTCTGATTTCCTGGCAAAGATCACACTTTTGTTGAATGTGGCCTTCCCCGAGGCAGCGAATGCACTGGGAGTGCTTGTCTACAACAAAGATCGCCTCTTTGCAAGAGAGGCACTTCTTGAAGTCTGGTGAGTGGGGCATACCCCATTGAGGGAAGGGTCCGCAACAAGGGGAAAAAAAGCAGAAAAGTCTTTTATTTTTACAAAAATGAAAGGGGGGGGAGAATAAGAAGAGAAAACACTACAGCTAGAACTACAACTAAGAACTAGGAGGCTAGCTAACTACAGAAATACAAATCAAAAGTAATGGTCCTAATGGACTAGGAACAGTTCTGTCTCTAGCCAGGGGCGGTTGAGAAGGAACTGAGGGGGAACTAGCCCGCATGAGCTGACTAGCCTCGTGGCGCAACATAAGGAGAGACTGCACATGTGTGGGCCTAACGGATACTGCTACCAAAGTTCTCCAATCAGCAGCACAGGGACGCAAGCACAACTACAGGGGAGCACCCGTAGAGACACTACTTGCAGAAGAAGTGAAGCTTAACTATAGGAATGTGTAAAATGTAAATAAAGACTTGCCTGCAAAGTTTCCTGCCCTTCCTAAGAACTTCTGCTCAGCAAGAATGGAATGTATCACACTGCCTTATCAAGAGATTGACCAAATTCTTTGGTGAATAAATGGGGAAATACTTCCTATTCAGCTTGGCTGGGTCAGGATGGAGCTCAAGGGTGTCTATAACATTTCTTAACGTAGGATCAAAGAATTCTGTTTTAATAAGCTCCTCACTAATGTCCTTGTTGGATTTAATGGATTCCAGCTCGCCCTTTCTTTTGCGATGCAGCCTCATGGCTAGAGAGTATGCTACTTCACCTTTTTTCTAGGGCTGTTTATCCTTAGCCTTCTTGGATATCAATGACACAGACAGGTGGGAGTTGGGACCTCACTTTCCCCCAATGAGGTAGCGCTGTTTCTTGGAAAAAGCAACAGAGGGTCCTGTGGCACCTTTGAGACTAAACAGAAGTACAGGGAGCATAAGCTTTCG